GCTCCCGCCGCAGACAGGGCGGAGGGACAGCCGCGGTCCCCCCCCCTCGCCGGTCGCCCTCCCACGCGCCGGCCCCCCTCTCCATCGCCGCCCTGGGGGGCACCCCTTTGCCTCTTTTCGGGGTCCCCCATGGTGAGCTGCGATGTCAATACAGAGGCACGGGCAGGGGAGATGCTGATGGAGAGAGGGGGTCCCTTGCCTCTGTGTGCAGGCGTGCACTGGAGCAGGGGAGGGGGCGGGCAGGTAACTCAGTGCAAGGAGCAGACAGGAAGAGGGTCGCAGGTGCAGGCACAAGGCCAGGCTGCAAAGAACCTCAGCCCCAGCCAGAGTCCCGGCTTCCATAAGCGGGAGGGGAGGTGAGGGTGCAGATCTCGCGCTGAAAGGTGCGGAGGTTTTGCCTTGCAGATAGACATCGCTCTGTCCCCACTGTGTGCCTGTCACAGGCCTGGCTGGGCCGTGTGGATCATGAGACAGGATTACACACACACACACACACACACACACACACACACACCCCTTGGGTACACGTTGGGCTGCGTTTAGGGCTGCAGAAAACATGGGGTCCCAGTCGGCCAGTGAGTAAAGCACATGAAGGCAGAGGACCCCAAAACCTTTGTGCGGATTTCTTGAGAGAAGAAATGGCTTTCTACGCCACTGGGCATCCTGAACCCCCCTTGAAGGGTAGAATGCAGTGGGGTATATCGGCCAGGGTTCTGGAGCCTGGACTAGGAGTAGCTGGCATGGAAAATGCACTATCACCCAGCTTTCTGTCTCTCCCTCCTGCGGCCCCTACCCCAGTGCTGGCCCACTGTGGCCAGCAGCCTTCGTCAAGTGCTCACCACAAGGAAATGACCAAAGGAAACTGCAAACGTTCCAGGCAGTGACTCTGATCTGGACGCCCCCGTGTCCTGGCGGACAAGAAGGGCCAGTGTGTTACACAGGGCCGGCCCCTCCAGGTCAGCAGTGTCCAAGCTTTCTGACACTAGGGGTCAGTTCTGTGGAAGACAATTATTCCACGCGCTCGGGGTGGGGATGGTTTCTGATTCGGGGCTTGGCATTTCTTGTAGATGTTCTGTCTGCCATGAACACATTGCCATCTATAGCGGAATACTCACACGCTGGCTCTCCACAATGCAGTACTCACAGCTGTGCCCCAGTGCCGGCGTCAATGCCTCAGCTCCAGCTCAGACCGTCCGGCACTAGGTTCCCAAGAGGAGCAACCCAGATCTCATGCATGGTTCACAGTGGGGTTCAAGCTCCTAGGAGACTCTAGAGCTGCCCTGCTATGACGGGAAGCCAGGCTCGGGCAGTGTGAGCAATGGGGAATGGCCATAAATACAGATGAATTTGCTCTCTCACGTGTCACTCACCTCTTGTCGCGTGGCTTGGTTCTCAGTAAGCCATGGGTCAGTCCCCATAGGTGGTCCGGGTGTTGGGGACCTCTGTTCTGGGGTACAGGCATGCCTGTCCCTTGTAGCCAGGGGCCTGCCCCAGGTAGGAAAGCATCCCTTCAAACAACCTAGGAGGGATTTGCTGCTGAGTGAGAATTCGGGGAGAGTGTGCATCGTGCTCTTGGGCAGCGCTGGGCTTATGCGTGGAAGGGATCCATGCAAAGGTGGTCCTACCATGTTTCTTCCCCATCTTTCTGCTCTATGCTTCCATCCCAGAAAGGAAGGAGGGAGCCCCTTGCTGCAGGAGGTACCGGCAGAGAGCAGGGTGGTTTGCTTGGCTTTCCTGGGGTTGCACTCCGTACTAGGGGTGAGAAGAAGGAGTGAGGACCTGAGGAAGGTCCTCCAGGGTGAGATGACCAGGCCCAGCAGGAGTCACGTCAGGGGCCTTCTGGTCGACGCCTGAGGGAGCAAGTCAACTCCACACCCACACATGCACACACACACACACACACACACGTGCGTGCACGGCGAACTGCTGGTGGTAGCTTTGCACGGCCAGTGTGCATTCCTGTGCATGCATTTTACTCTGTGTTCTGACTCTGAGAAGGGCCTGCATTTGCAGTGTCTAGCTACTCCTGAGTGGACAGAGGGCAACTGAATTGATACCTGGCTGCTGAGCTCAGAGTTAGGCTGGGGACAAACAAGGTGGAAGGTCTAGGTGTGGACACAGGAAGCTTTACCCAAGATAGGGTCATAGTGGTGAAGGTTTTGCTGTTTTTTTCTTTTAGGTTTTTGCTGTAGGATGCATGGACTCCCTAGAGAGAGGCAGAGAGAGGGAAAGTGAGAAATCACCCCCCAGGAGGGATGGCCATGCTGCAATGTCTTCTCCCCCGTTCTCCTGTGGGGATTTTGGGCATGCATGCACACAACTGGTGTGATTTTCAAGCCAGTAGATCTGGGACTTGAACCTTCAAAGTGGCCATGTGGGATCCTGCTCCTTAACCACCATGCAACCTCCTGGCTGCAACAGTAGCTTTTTTTTTTTTTTTTCAGAGAGATTTTTGCTATAGGGCGCATGCCCTCACGAGAGAGAAAGTGAGAAATCACCCTCCAGGGGGGTGGTTACACCGCAATCCCTTCTCCTCCATTCTCCTCCCAAGATCTTGAGCACTCACGCACACGCGCTCGGTGTGAGTTCAAAGCCACCAGGCTTGGGTCTGGAATTACAATGGGCTCTGCTAGAGTCCAACGACAACCATTCCGCCATCTGCTGGTCCCCAGTGGCTCAATTGTATCCAAGAGTTGAATAGTAAGAGCTGGAAACTCAAGCCCTTGCTGGCAACGGTTTGTATGGGCTAGCTACATTGTAACAAAAATGCAGAGCCCTGGTCTGCTGACTGCACTAGGAATGGAGTCAGAAGTCACCGGGGCTACATTGTAACAAGTTCTGAAGCTCCGTCCTTATCTCACGGGCTGGATAAAGACCCCTGGAGAGAGCCACAAGTGCAGTTTCCTGGGACCCTCCCCTTCTTTGGGAGCTGTCCTTCCTCCGAAAAACTTTGTTCTGCTCTGTCTCTGTCCATCCACTCCCATCTGTCATTCTTCGTGAGCAGGTGACGAGAACCCGATTGTCTCACCACCCTGAATCCGGCACTGGTTTTCGTCCTGGTCATCCCAGTACCCCGGGTCACATTACCTGCCCCCACACACAGAGTCTGTTCCTCAGGGGTGTGCCGGGGAAGACAGCTCAAGCTTCTCACATTGTTCCACTAGACGTCGCCGTGTCTACAGAAAAATCTATCAGGGGTTGGGGCCAGCAGGTAGCGTGGCGGTTAAGCATGCTGGAGTCCCATAGGATTGACCGTGGTTCAAGTCCCGGACCTGGAAGCTTACTTTCTCACTTTCTCTCTCTGTGTCCTTCTCTGGTCAAATTAAAATAAATAAAGTAAAATAATTCTTAACAATAAAATCTATCGGGGGCCAGCAGGTGGCGTAGTGGTTAAGGCGCTGGACTCCTCTATGGCTGACGGTGGTTCAAACCCTGGACCTGGCAGCTTGAAACACACTGAGCGTGTGTGTGTGTGTGTGTGTGCCTCAAATCCCAGGAAAACAGAGGAGAAGGAATTGCGGTGTGGCCATCCCCACTGGTGGGGTGATTTCTTGCTTTCTGTCTCTCTTTCTCTCTCTCCAGCGAGGCACCTGCATCCTATGGCAAAAGCGTTAGAAAACAAAAACAAAACAAGAGTCTGTTGGATCCTCGCTGTTGAGCCCAGGGCAAGCAAGCCATCCAGGTGGGACGATGCAGAGATTTGCCAGGGGAGGTACACCACGATCCCTTACCCCCAAATGAAACTTGATATACATTGTTTTAAAAATGCAAAAAGATACGCTCAGTTTGCAATACCTGTTGGAGATGACTGTCATCAACCAGGCGCGTCCCGGTCGCGTAAATGAAATCTGCTTCCCGGAGTAGCCTCAGGCTGCAAGACCCCGTGAGGTGCAGAAGGGTTCTGGCCCTGGCCACGCTCGGGGCCCCCGTGCTCTCTCCTGCTCCTGTTCGGGGCCGCTGGAGCGCTCCCAGGCTGTCAGTCTCTCCCCACCCCCTAGCCATCACAGGTCGCTACTCAGAAATTCCTTTTTTTGTTTTAGAAAGATTTTTGCTATAGGACACGTGCGCTTGCCAGAGACACGGAGAGACAGAAAAAGAGAAATCACCCCACCCCACACCCCCTGGGGAGATGTCCACGCTTCAATCCCTTCTCCCACGATCTTGGGCATGTACACACACACGCCTGACGTGAGCTTCGAGCTGCCGGGTCTGGGACTCGAACCGCAGTCGGCCATGCGGGAGTCCAGCGACGTAACTGTTCCACCATCTGCTGGCCCCACGGCAGCC